CCTCCGCCTCCTCCTCCTCCTCCGCCTCCTCCTCCTCCTCCCACTCCTCCGCCTCCTCCTCCTCCTCCTCCCTCCTACTCCTCCTCCTGCCTCCGCCTCCCCTCCTCCTCCTCCTCCTCCTCCTCCTCCTCCTCCTCCTCCTCCTCCTCCTCCTCCTCCTCCTGCGGGGGCGCGACGCCCCATGGCGCCGCCCGAGGCGGTGGCGGCGCTCCTCCCCGAGGCGGCGCGCGGCCTCCCTGTGGGCGGCCGTGCGGCCACTTCGGGAGTCGGTGAGGGGGGGGCGCGGGGGGGGAAGGAACCGAACAACCACTGAGCCGCATTCTCGTTCCGAAATGGCGCATTAGAACCTTGAAGCCAGGACTTATTAGGATCGACTCTGCGACGGCCACGGGCGAGAGCGACCCTAGCGAAATGGGGCTGCATGGCAGGGTCGAGAAGGGAGGAATGACGAGGGAGGAAGGAGTGGGGAGGGAGGAATGAGGAGGATGAGAAAAAGGATCAGTAGGAGAAGGAAGAGGATAAGGAGGAGAAGGAAGAGGATAAGGAGGATTATACCGAGGAGGAGGAGGAGGAGGAAGAGACAGGAGGAAGAGACAGGATGAGGAGGAGGAGGAGGAGGAGGACGACGACAACTCTTGCCTGTTGATCTCCTCCACGACGGAAGCGTCCACCACTCGATCCTGTGGCGGGCGGGCTCCCGAAATTCGCGGGGAACTGGCTGCGTGCAGGCTTTCCGGGAAGAGAAAGGCAAGGGAAGGGACTGGTCCTGTGAAGGACGAGACCCTTTCACGTCCAACTTGTGGATTTGCCCCACAACGATCGAGCAATGAGGGTCAAGTGTTTTGGACGCCCCCTGCCCTCGTCGTGCCTCTGGGGGGCATCTGCGGACCTCGGGTGTTCACCTGGGGACCTCAGGGGCCCTGCGAGGCTAACTCTACGCTCAACCTTCATCTTCCACTCCTTCCCATCGTTAGCCGCATCATCGACACCATCACCGTCACCACCACACACCATCGCAACCGTCACCATCATCCACCGCTCATAGTCAGACCACCATTACTACCAACATCCGCACCCGAATCCACATTACTATCAACATCACCTCCACAGCCATCAGCATCATCATCACCACCACAAGCATCACCATCACCATCATCAACCTCATCATGTTCGTCATCATCATCATCGTCATCCTCACCGTCATCATCCTCACCGGTAAGCACCAGCATCATCACCATATTCGTTGTCGTCATCATAGTCCTCATCCTCCTCATCATCATCGCCGTTCGCTTTCGTTTTTTCATCAGCATTTAAGGGCAACCTCGTCGAGCCTGCCCTGGGACCTGCCACCTCCCATCCTCACAAAGACCTCGAGCACCTAGGTCCGCTTGTTGCCGCATATTGTCGAACACATCTGGCCAACATTGTGAGTTCCAGTGATGACTCCCGAGCATACCTGCGAAACTTTGCCCGGAATTGTTGCTTCCACCTCTAAACTGCTACTCGCACTGTAATTTTTGAAATATGCCCCCGACTGCTAATACACGTGGTCCGTACTCTTTCGTCCTCCCTGTTACTCCCTACGCGTAGTTCGATATAGCGCGTTCGGGTCGGTGTCCTCCATCCCTCCACCACTGGCTATTCGTTATGCCACGCATGTGTTTTCTTCGGAAAGTCTTCGTTGACGCACTCGAAGTCCGCCTGGGCGTCCATACAGAAGTTGGCCACGAAGATTACCTCTTTATAAAATTCTCGTCTTCGCCACTTGATGGGGCTGGCGTTGCCGCGCCTGGGGCCCAATAACATCCCACCACAAATATGTGCCCGATCGCATTGGCTATAATATCGTCGTGCGCGTCTCCGGCCGCTGCGCTGCCAGAAACGGCCTTGACCAAAGTCTCGCTGTCGGCTACGAGCTCGAGTGTAGGGCTTCTCCCACAAGTGTTCAACCGAAGCAGTTGTATAGGGATCACCGCCCAAGGAATCGGATACGCCTCACTGCCCGCAAGCTAAAGTAGCGTCTCGCCGCCTTTCGAAGCCGACGCGGGTTCTCTTCTCCCGCCCCTGCGACGAGCTGTCCCAGTCAAGAGCCTTATGGAAACCTACGAGGCCCTTCATCGTCAAGTCGTATTCCATGGCGATGCTCTTCAAGAACTCCCGCAGGTAGGTGTGCCTCTTGTCCGGCTTGTCCTCGAGGTACCGTCTCCACTTCGGTGGTGCTCTGTTCAGGCCGTCTTCCCATTGAAATCTCCTGCCGCTGCGTGGGCGTCTCCGCCCTGCGAGGATGTTGCAGTCCCACTCCACTCCTCGCACTCAGCCCTCGCATCTTTCCATGTTGCCGCTAGGCGGCACTTCGTGTAGTCGCCCAGCGGTCTTGAACCGCCGTCTAACTTGAATGTCCACCAAGTTTTCGCCCAATTGAACGTAACCACCAGGGCCTTCGCATAAATAGGTTCCAATTTGCACTTCACAAAGAGCTCGTGCAATTTCCTCTGCGTCGCCGTTTCGTTCCATCTTCAAGAAGGCTACAATATGGCTAAACTCCCATCTTCTCAATGTGTGCACGTTGTGCTGGCAGCTTCCTAAGAAGACTCCGACGCAATGGTGGCCCTGAGGCCGTACTCTGAAAGAAATCGAACTATATATTGTAGCCACTCTGGGTGTTTTACGGTCCGCGGTAACAACATGCCCCCGGAAATATGATCCAGCTCCGCCGGCGGGGCAAAGTTAAGATCCACGCCACGAACAATAGACCTCATCTTTCCACTCGATTGCCATGCAATTGATTGTTTCTCCACCTCCCCTGAGATCTGATACCACACATCCTTACATCCACGACCGTGGGGGAAGTGAACAGAACCACATGCAAGGTCGCCAATCAAAACCATCGTACAGTACTCCCCATAAACGATGTCGTTAACCTCAGTCTTCCAACTTCCCGGAATAAGTATCGCACAATCCTTCCCCAGCTCGCCCAAAGTCCTGAAGTTACCGGTGACCGCGTCCTCCCATGACATTACTTCCAGCAGCAATACGAGAAGATCGGCGCTCAAGGCCGCTAGTTTCTTGACTAGCTTTTTTCTTTTGCGCCTCCAACTCTTCGGTACGAATTCCATGATAATTCGCCGGCCTAGCGGGCCAGCGGCGTGCTAAGATCTCCAGTAACAGGTTAACCGTATTTCTAGATCGCGCGCGCGAAGCGGCTCCTGGGGACTCCTAGACGAAAAGTACCCCAGGCGATGCCAGGGCGATGCCCGGGCGTTCGAGGAGCGCGCCAGGAGGGCGCCGGGGCGCCCCCTACACGGCCCAAGAGACCCCGCGTCGCCGAAAGATCGTTTCAAGACGCTCAAGATGGTCTCCAGATGGCCCCAGAGGCCGCGAAAACCCGTAACAGAGCCTCAAGAGGCTCTCCAAGAGGGCCCCAACAAGCAAGAAGTCGCCCCAGTTCCTTCGGGAAACGTACATTTTTCGCATGTGCGACGTTCGGGGGTTCACAGCGTCCAGAACTGCCCCAGAGGCCTCCAACATCGTCCCCAGACGGCCCAACACGCCCCCAAGATGGGCCCAAGAGAGCCCAAGAGAGCCCCAAGACGGCCCAAGAGGGCACCAAGAGGCGCCCAAGACGGGCCAAGAGTGCTTCCAAACGGCCCCAAGAGTGGCCCAAGAAGGGGGCCAGGGCATGGAAAGTCCAGCCTTCAGCCCCAGGAGGCCCCTAAGAGGCCCCCAAGGGGCCCCCACGGGGCCCCCAAGAGGCACCTCGAGAGGCCCCAAGAGGCCCCTGCTGGGCAGGGTCCAGCTCACCGAGGCCAGCCCCTCTTTCTTGCCCTTCTTATCCTTTGCCTTCTCATTGCCTCTGCCAGAAAGCCCAGGAAGCCCACGAAACAGTTTCTTTTTGGATCTGCAGGGCGAGAGCGAACCTCTTCCGCTGAAAGCTAAGCGGAACCAAAGCCCACGAGACAGATCAGGTGCACCAAGGGTCCACACGCCCCGAGGACCAGACCACGGAGGAGGAGACCCAGGAACGGGACCAGCAGGACACTGCCCGTTACACCCCGACTGCCTGCAACGCTTCCGAAAGCCATAGTTCAGATATCCGCACACAGCACACCTCCAGCCCGACGATGACATGGCAGGCCCAGGGCGCGCACACTGTGGGGTCGCGAACCCCTGGACAGAGAAAACGAAGGCGTCAGCCCTGAACACGCCACAATCGCTCGAGCGAGGTTGGAAGATCAGGAGAAGGCCCCTTTGAGCCAAAATGGCTACGGATCTCCGCTTCCTCCTCTTTCTCCACCTCCTCTACCTCCTCCACATCCTCCTCCTCCTCCTCCTCCTCCTCCTCCTTCCCCCCTCCTCATACTCCTTCTCCGTCTCATCATGATCATCATCATCATCATCGTCATCATCATCATCATCATCATCATCATGATCATCATCATCATCATCATCAACAGCAACATCAGCATCATCATCATCAACAGCATCACAATCATCATCATCATCAGCATCATCATCATCATTGGCACGATCATCGTTATCAGCGTCACCATTGTCATCATCATACGCATAATCATATTCGTCACCATCATCGTCATAATCAGTATGGTCATGCTGATGATCATCATCATCAACAAACTCAACATCATCATCATCACCAACAACAATAACAGCACCACCCTCAGCATCATCAGCATCATGATCTTCATTGCAATAACCATCGTCATGGTCAACATCATCGCCATCATCATCGCCATTCTCATAATTCAACACCATTAACCGTTTTATAACCCTCAACAATCACAATACCATCAGCACCATCGTCATCCTCATAACAAGAACCATCACCATACTCAGTATCATCAGCATCATCAGCACCATCACCACGATCAGCATCACCACCAACAGAAGCAACCACGACAACATTACCACCACCACCAACAACAACAACACCATCAACATCACCACCATAAGCATCCCCGCCATCCTCATCATCATCTTCCTTGTCCTCATCCTCATCCTCATCCCCATCATCCCCATCATCCTCCTCATCATCATCCGGCCTCATCCCTCCTCCTTCTCCTCCTCCTAATCCTAATCCATCCACCCCTCTCCCTCTGTCCTCCTTCATACTCCCTCCTCTCTCCTCCATCCTCCACCTCGCCGATTCTCCTCCTTCCACCTCCCTCCAGTCCGTTTCCCAATATAAGTAACTAGAACCACGCGCGCGCTTCGCGCGCTTAGGTTCTGTCGAGTCACAGACCCAGGAATCGTTGTGAGAAGAAATTGGTGACGCGAAGCGTCGTGGGGGCGTCTTTGGACGTCTGGGGTCTCCTGGGGCCTCTTGAGGGGCCTCCTGGGGGCCTCCTGGCGGCCTCTTGGGGCGGAAGGCTCGAGCTTGCGGTTCGTGGTCCCCCTCTGGGCCCCCTCTTGGGCCCGTCTTGGGGCCCTCTTGGGCCATCTTGGGCGCCTCTTGGGCCGTCTTGGGGCCCTCTTGGGCTGTCCTGGGGCCCTCTTGGAAGCTTCTTGGGCCGTCTTGGGGCGGTCTTGGGCGCCTCTTGGGCCGTCCTGTAACGTCGGAAAGCCCAAAAGGCGACTTTGTTGAAAATGTACGTTTTACGAAGGGAATGGGTCAATTTTTGCGTCTAGGGGCCCTCTTGGGACGCATGTTGGAGGCTTCTTGGGGCGTCTTGGGGGCGTCCTTGGACGTCTGGGGTCTCCTGGGGCCTCTTGAGGGGCCTCCTGGGGGCCTCCTGGCGGCCTCTTGGGGCGGAAGGCTCGAGCTTGCGGTTCGTGGTCCCCCTCTGGGCCCCCTCTTGGGCCCGTCTTGGGGCCCTCTTGGGCCATCTTGGGCGCCTCTTGGGCCGTCTTGGGGCCCTCTTGGGCTGTCCTGGGGCCCTCTTGGAAGCTTCTTGGGCCGTCTTGGGGCGGTCTTGGGCGCCTCTTGGGCCGTCCTGTAACGTCGGAAAGCCCAAAAGGCGACTTTGTTGAAAATGTACGTTTTACGAAGGGAATGGGTCAATTTTTGCGTCTAGGGGCCCTCTTGGGACGCATGTTGGAGGCTTCTTGGGGCGTCTTGGGGGCGTCCTTGGACGTCTGGGGTCTCCTGGGGCCTCTTGAGGGGCCTCCTGGGGGCCTCCTGGCGGCCTCTTGGGGCGGAAGGCTCGAGCTTGCGGTTCGTGGTCCCCCTCTGGGCCCCCTCTTGGGCCCGTCTTGGGGCCCTCTTGGGCCATCTTGGGCGCCTCTTGGGCCGTCTTGGGGCCCTCTTGGGCTGTCCTGGGGCCCTCTTGGAAGCTTCTTGGGCCGTCTTGGGGCGGTCTTGGGCGCCTCTTGGGCCGTCCTGTAACGTCGGAAAGCCCAAAAGGCGACTTTGTTGAAAATGTACGTTTTACGAAGGGAATGGGCCAATTTTGCGTCTAGGGGCCCTCTTGGGACGCATGTTGGAGGCTTCTTGGGGCGTCTTGGGGGCGTCCTTGGACGTCTGGGGTCTCCTGGGGCCTCTTGAGGGGCCTCCTGGGGGCCTCCTGGCGGCCTCTTGGGGCGGAAGGCTCGAGCTTGCGGTTCGTGGTCCCCCTCTGGGCCCCCTCTTGGGCCCGTCTTGGGGCCCTCTTGGGCCATCTTGGGCGCCTCTTGGGCCGTCTTGGGGCCCTCTTGGGCTGTCCTGGGGCCCTCTTGGAAGCTTCTTGGGCCGTCTTGGGGCGGTCTTGGGCGCCTCTTGGGCCGTCCTGTAACGTCGGAAAGCCCAAAAGGCGACTTTGTTGAAAATGTACGTTTTACGAAGGGAATGGGCCAATTTTTGCGTCTAGGGGCCCTCTTGGGACGCATGTTGGAGGCTTCTTGGGGCGTCTTGGGGGCGTCCTTGGACGTCTGGGGTCTCCTGGGGCCTCTTGAGGGGCCTCCTGGGGGCCTCCTGGCGGCCTCTTGGGGCGGAAGGCTCGAGCTTGCGGTTCGTGGTCCCCCTCTGGGCCCCCTCTTGGGCCCGTCTTGGGGCCCTCTTGGGCCATCTTGGGCGCCTCTTGGGCCGTCTTGGGGCCCTCTTGGGCTGTCCTGGGGCCCTCTTGGAAGCTTCTTGGGCCGTCTTGGGGCGGTCTTGGGCGCCTCTTGGGCCGTCCTGTAACGTCGGAAAGCCCAAAAGGCGACTTTGTTGAAAATGTACGTTTTACGAAGGGAATGGGTCAATTTTTGCGTCTAGGGGCTCTCTTGGGACGCATGTTGGAGGCTTCTTGGGGCGTCTTGGGGGCGTCCTTGGACGTCTGGGGTCTCCTGGGGCCTCTTGAGGGGCCTCCTGGGGGCCTCCTGGCGGCCTCTTGGGGCGGAAGGCTCGAGCTTGCGATTCGTGGTCCCCCTCTGGGCCCCCTCTTGGGCCCGTCTTGGGGCCCTCTTGGGCCATCTTGGGCGCCTCTTGGGCCGTCTTGGGGCCCTCTTGAGCTGTCCTGGGGCCCTCTTGGAAGCTTCTTGGGCCGTCTTGGGGCGGTCTTGGGCGCCTCTTGGGCCGTCCTGTAACGTCGGAAAGCCCAAAAGAGAACTTTGTTGAAAATGTACGTTTTACGAAGGGAATGGGCCAATTTTTGCGTCTAGGGGCCCTCTTGGGACGCATGTTGGAGGCTTCTTGGGGCCTCTTGGGGGCGTCCTTGGACGTCTGGAGGCCATCTTCAGCATCTCGGAGCCCTCTTGGAGGCCTCTTGGAAGTTTCTTGGGCCGTCTTGGGAGCTCCTGGGGCCGTCTTGTCTGAGCGGGGAGGCCTCCGGCAAGCCCCGACGAGCCTCCGGGCCCCCCGGGGCGCACATTTGTGGTAGAGGTCCCGGCCCCGGGCCCCCGGACCCGGTGCGCCGTTATATGTATATTCACCCCTGTCGCACCCGCGGGCGTGTCGGTATGGCGAGCTGGGCGTTTCGCCTGAGACTTCCTCACTATATATGTCCTTGAGTGTTAAGCTTTGCAACGGCTTCAGCTTGAAGGGCGGGGAGCGGTTGGCTTTCAAAATGTGGTTCTCGACGAAGCGCCGCGCACATTCGCCTTCAAAGTTCGCAGTAGCTTCAAGGATGGAAGGCGGCTGGTTTTCAGAAGGTTGCCCTCGCCTTAGCGCCGAACACCTTCGGCATAAAAGTACGCAACAGTTTCAATAATGCAGGGCGGCCCCGTTTTCAGCATGTTGTTCTCGCCTTAGCGCCGCGTGCATTCGTCTGAAAAGTTTGCAGCAGCTTCTACGATGGAGGGCGGCTCCTTCTCAAATGTGGCTCTCGCCTTTGCGCCGCGCGCATTCGATTCAAAAGTGTGCAGCAGTTTTAGACAGTCGTATGACTGACGATCTAGGAACGGTGTTCTGACACGTTGATGGTGCAACTCAGGAGCTTCGAAACAAAAATTATGTTGACTCGCGGTGCTGAAATCAGAGGAATTGCGTTTTGGCGCGAATGGGGATTCACGGCCAATTGCATTACCATGGGGCACTTTCCGCAATGCAAACGAATTCTTGACGGGGCCTACGAAGAGGGAACCTGGAGGAAGGGTTTACTGCAACAACGTTGATGCGTCATGTATGTACACTGGTCCTCCTCCTCTTACCTCCTCCCTCCTCCCTCCTCCTCCCCCCTCTGCCCCTCCTCCTCTTCATCCTTCTCCTCCTCCTCATCCTCATCCTCTTTCTCCTCCTCCTCCTCTTTCTCATCGTTCTCATCTTTCTCATACTTGTTCTCCTCCTCCTCCTGCCTCTTCCTCCCTCCTCCTCCTCCTCCTCCTCCTCCTCCTCCTCCTCCTCCTCCTCCTCTCTCCTCCTCCTCCTCCTCCTCCTCCTCTCCTCCTCCTCCTCCTCCTCCTCCTCCTCCTCCTCCTCCTCCTCCTCCCTCCTCCTCCTCCTCTCCTCCTCCTCTTCCTCCTCCTCCCTCCCTCCCTCCCTCCCTCCCTCTGGCCATCCCAGGCGGAGGGCACCGCCCGCCGCCGCCCCGCGTAATTAAGCGGAGCGTTCCTCGTGCCGGAAGCGCTGGAACTCCAGGACCTGGCGGGCAGCGCCAGGCGAGCGCCGCCCGCGAGGGGGGGGGAAGATCCGCGAGGCCCCGCTTCATCCTCTACCTGGTCATCGCCGTCGTCCATATTCTCGTCTTCGCGCTCATTGTCGTCGTCGTCCTCCTCCTCCTCCTCATATTGCGGTTTCCTTCCCTTTGATTGCCTGTCCTTTCATGTCCTCTTTCTCGTCAGCATCATGATCCTGATTATCATCGCATGCTCCTATAAGAAGCACACACTGCCCTCCTGGCGATCAGTTTTCATGATTGCGAGGCTGCTGATACGCGGCACGCGCGAGCGCTGCACGGCGGCACGCCCCAGGTGCGTGCGCACATTGCTGGACCACCGCGTTGCCTATAAAAGGTCGTGGGTGGGTGGGCTTTCCTCGCTGTCCCGATCGCGAGACAAAATGGGAACGATCGGGGGGATTCCGAAGCCCCCCCCACCCGGAGCCCATGCACGGGGAACATGTGACAGCCGAAAATGCCACGCCACTTCTCCCCCGCACATGTTCCTATAAAAAGCACCCCGCCCTCCAGGCGATCATTTTTCATGGCTGCGAAGCTGCTCATACGCGGCGCGCGCGAGCACCGCGCGGCGCGCCCCAGGTGCGCGCACTCATTGCTGGGCCAACCCGCCGCCATATGCTAGCCGCTCCGCCGAGTGGCGAAACGGCCCCGGCAGCGCGCGCGCACCTGCGAGTCCGGGGGGCGATCGACGAGGGACATGAACCTCGCGGTGACGATGGCCCACCCGCACATCGCCTTCCACGCGGGAGGGTCGCCGCGCAATTTTCTGGGCGAGCCGCGAAGGTGCGCCGCGGGCCTCTGCTGGCGGAATCCCGTCGGGCCAACGCTAAAAATCCAAATGAAATCTTCTGTGCCCCCCGGGCCGCGAGGCGCCAAAGGCGCGGGCGGCTCCGGCCTCCGCGGCGCCCAACTCCGCAAATGCAGCGACCCGAGAACCCTGGCGGCGATTGTACACAGGGGGTGCGTCTCACCGCGACGGCGCAGCCACGTTCTGCGTGTCGGCCGCGCCTGCGGCTGCGTCGCTGCGAGCCCGTCGGCCCCAAGCGAACAGTGGCTCTGCCGACGCCCTGGCCGCGGCCGCAGGGGCCGGGCCGCCCGCAAGACAGCCGATAGCGCCTGCGGGCCGCCGCTCCACGGGAAGAAACCCTCCGGAGCATGACGCATCTCCGGCGGCGCACCCGCCCGCCCCAGGCGCGGGGGACATGACCTTTGTAGTGCGCGTTTCATCTGAGCCGCGCCTGCTGCCGCGGCCAGGGAGGCGTCGCCGCGCCGATGGCACTCAGATCAGATGCCAACGGCAACGGTTCCACTGGGCCGCCGCCCAATATCCCGCACCTGCGGGCGGCGGGCCAACCAATCGGAAGCTCGGAACAGGATCGCAAGACGGTCGAACGGAAACACCGCCCGAATCGCTCGAGAACCGACCGCGGCGTCAAATTGCCCTCCCCGGCGTGGCGCGAACGGACAGCAGTCGCGCGCGCCGGGTGGCCCATCGCGGCCGCGGGTCCCATGTCCCTCGCAAGGATCTGAAAAGGCCAGACCGCGCCCTGGCGGCCCTCCTTTTCTTCCCAGACCAGACAACAACGGACCCATTATGGGTTCAGATTAGCGCTGTACCCTGGCGGCCCCCACATCTCCCCAGAGAAAGCCTTCCGTCCCCAGCTATGAGATGGATGCGATTTGGTTCCCAGTGCGCGCCTGCCCCAGGGGGCAAATCCAGCCCCTCCTCCAACGGGCACCAAAGATCGCAACGCAGGAGAAACTCCCGCGGCCCGCTGGACCTCCAGAAATTGTACACGACCTCCGGCCGGGTTAATGCACGCACGCTCTGGTTCAAATGTGTCGCGCCCCCCCGACGGCTGCAAATCCTGGCCCGCCCCGACGGGCGCAACGTATCATAAACTCCCCCAGCCAACTGGACCTCCAGCAGGGTACACACGGCATCCGGTCGGGCTAACGTCACCCCATCCAGTCGGGCAGCATTAGCGCGCGATCAAGGGACATACCCGGGGCACAAAAGTGGGCAGTAAATCCAGGCAGTAACACGGCCGTGCCCGGGGCGGATAGCAGCGCCGGAATCCAGAGACCAGCGCGCACGCGCGCTCTGGTTCCAATGTTGCGCCCCCCCAGGAGGGGGACAAATCCTGCCCCCCAGAGATCGAAGCGCAGAGGAAGCTCGCCCCCACGGCCAGCTGGGCCTCCAGTGGGGCACATGCGACTTCCGGCCAGGTTGACGACGCCCCCGCCAGCTGGGCAACCACCACGCGCGACTAGAGACCACGCACGTAGGAGAGACCTTAAAATGTCATAGGCACTCTCAAAATGAATCGAATTCGCGCGGCTCATAGACTTGCCGCGCACAACTGCGGACCCCAGGTGCCCGCCCCCATTGTGCGCGACAGCCGCGCGAAGCAGACGGGCTCTCGGCCTGGCGCGCCCCCACAACTGTTCGGAAAATTGCATCGAGGGGCGGGGGGTAGGCCTCAGAAACTTGCCGAAGATACACTGGGAGCTCAAATTGCGCCCCCTGCATGAACTTTCTCGAGATGGCGCCCGCTGTAGATGCTTTAAGACCTGGCGAATGGTGGAAAAAGTCGGGCTCGCATTCCCCCGCTGAAATATCCAGAGCCACCTCCTGGGCGACAAGGTCCGCGCCCTTGTCCTTGGACTTCATATTTACGAGCACAGTTCGCGCCCCAGCGCTGCACCCCTTGACGGCGAGGGCGGGCCAGTGGCCGCGCCAGAGGCGCAGCGCAAGCAGGATGGCGAAATCCTCCAACGTCTGCTGGCCCGTGCAAAAGTCGATCCCCACATTCAAGATGCTGGCCAGGTCGGGGCGCAGCTCCGCTGCGAACCAAGACGCGAAGGCGCCGCCGATCACAATGAAGCCTCCGAGCCCCCAGGGGCTCGCATCGGCGACGAGTCGGATCTTCTGGCCGGCGCCCAGGTTCGCGTCGAGGCAGAACACTCGGACGAGGTCGCCGAGCTCCGACTCGAAGGACGCACGTGGCCAGGGAAGCGGGCGCCCAAACTGCGCCGCCCTGACGCATCCAGCGGGGGCGCTGGGCGCGCCCCCCGACAGGGCGCCCCGCGTCTGTCAAGAATGGGCGCAGCGTGAAAATCAACGATGCCACGCGCGAGAGCGACCCCAGAAAACCCCGCAGACGCCTGGCCGATACCACGTTGACGCGGAGGCACTCGATGACGAACCCCCTGCAACATCGACCCTCGCCTTCGCCATCCCCGCCCAGACCACGGCGCGCGCGGAGTCGACGGCGGCGGCGCGCCCGATCCAGGGGGCAACTCTTCCTCGCCCAGCCTCGTGGAAGGCCAATGGGAAGCCCGAAGGTCTCCACACCAGCACGATCATGGACATCCTGCGGTCGCGGGCCCCACGAGTGCCCCGCGCCGCAATCGCCAGGTCGTCGACGAATGTCTGGATCCGCGCGCTCTCGAGGCCCCGGCCGACCTCGCCCAGCGCAGGCGCGAAGGGGGACTGGGCGACGCGAGTCGCCAGCGATGCAACGGCGGCCCATGATAGAGGGCGCGGCTCGCAGAAAGACGAAAAACTTGCCCCTCACGCGACCCGCGAAGCGGGGGCGCCCCTCGAACTCCAACGGCGCGTTCCAGAAAACATCGGCAAAGTCTGGATTGAGGAGCTCAAGGCCGTCCGCCGAGCTACAAGTGGACATCGGGCCCAACAGATCACACGCCAAATCCGCGACCCGTTGCCAGACCACCCAATTCGCCCGACGACTGGCGAAGGTCACCTTCGAGGCTTCGAGTTCCTTGACCTGGCCGTCCTTAACCTTTCGCGCTATGCCGTGCCTGGGAAGGATCGGCTCGACCCCCAAAAAGCCCCTGACCGCCTCGAGCGAACCGAACTCCTTGAGGTAGGGCGGGTCTCGGCTGGCAGATTCGAGCACCTGCTCGACTGCTTCGTCGTCCTTCTCGAGCCCTGGGTAATTTTCGGAATGGCCCTATGGTTCCACGAGCTCCGCGGGGCCCTGCCACCCGCCCCCCCGCATTGAGCGACCTTGAGCCAGGTGGCGGAGCCGGGGGGAGGCCAGGGGGAGGGGCGATCAAGCTACTGCGACCGCGAGCGGCTGATCTGCTGTCGATCTCGTCGGGGTCCCCCCACTCGCGGGGCGCTTCGCTGTCGGGGGTGCTGCCTCCGAGTTCGCGCTCTCTCGGAAGCCACTCCCATTCGGCCTCGTCCCAATGCTGCTGCCCGTTGTTCACATCGAACCCAATCGGATGGAACGGCAGCGCGGGGGAAATCTCAACGTCTTCGGCCGGGCCCGTCGGGGGCAGTGGAGTCGGGAAAGCTGCGGGGGGGACATGGGGGGGGTCAGGTGGGGGCTCCACTCCGCCGTCGCTGGACAGATCCAGCGGGTTTCTGGGCAGGGCGTCTTCTATGTCCTCGCGGGCGACCCGCGCTCCCTCCGCGGGGGCTGGATTGGCCCGTTCCTGCGGGGTCACACTATCGTTGCCCATCGCTGCCAGAATCACTCCTTGGCAGCCTGAAGCTGTCAACATCGCTCCTCGAAGTCTTTCTAGGGAGCCTTCTGGGCGTCTATCGCTGTCCGCATCGTTCCTCGGCGTTGCACTCTGCACGGGGGCGCAGCCAAGAGCCGCAGTCATTGGTGAATCTTGATTAGGGTTGGGGGCGAGTCCAAGCACCGCTGGACGCGGATCCTGCGCTGAAGGAGGAGGAGGAGGAGGAGGGGGAGGAGGAGGACGAGGATGGGGAGCGCAGCCAAGAGCCGCAGTAACTGGTGAATTGGGAGAGGAGGAGGATGAGGCGGCCCTCTGTGACGGTGCTGACTGGTCTAGGTCTTCTCTGTTTGATCCCCCCATCGTTCCCTGTGGAGGCTCTTCAGTCACCGCGGGGGGGGCCTGTTCGCCTGTCCACCTGGCGGGGAGTCTGTGCTGCCGCCTTCTGTGGATTCCGCTCGCCTTTCTCCAGGTGCATCCTCCGCTGCCGTCTCTCGGCCCCGTACCAGGACCTCGTTCTCGGCCTCGGGGGGCAGGGTGGGGCCTGTTGTTAGAGTCTCACGAGCACGGTCTGCCCCCCTGCGTGGGGAGGGGGGAGGCGTTGGCGGAATTCGGATCTGAGCGGGATCCAAGGCAACACCAGGGAGAGATTCTCTCCACTCTGTCTGGTTGTCTCCCTCCGCTGGACAGGGGGCCAATGCGGCCGTCGCTGGCGTCGGTCCTGGGTCAGCCGCGCCTGCGGGGGAGGGCCGTTCCTTGTGGGGGTTGGTCGATCGCAGCGGTTGGACTCCCATGCCATGCACTGCACGATCCCTATCCTCGTCCCCTTCGTCGGGCAGATCCCCCATGGGTCTGAGCCGCGGGCGTCAGCAGCGCAGCGTGCGAGCAGATATCGCAAGCGAGAACTGGTGAGGCGGCGGGGCCCAGGGGCGGGGGGCGCGGCGCGGCGCCCGGGCGCCCCCTTGAGCGCGGGAGACTGGCCAGAGGGAGCCAGGCCCGCAGACGGCTTGAGCCAGGCTACGGACGGACAGTAGCCGTTCCCAGAGCTCCTGCAATTTCCAATCTGGAAGTCCTTGGAGAGACCCCAGCCGTTCCGATTGGTAGTGAACTCGCCGTTCACCACGTCATGCTGCTCGGGGCCCTTCGCCACCTTGGTCGGCCGGGAGGCCTCCCCAGAGCCACGCCAAGATCGCTTCGGGGGGGCTTGCTGCGCGCCTCGCGTCGCCGTCAACCATGTCCGACAACTCAGCGGCCCCCGCGAAGATGAGGGCGCGCGGGCCCTCGACTTCGCGCTTCCAGAACGTAGATTCCACCGCGGACTTCCGCCGCGCGTGCGTCCACGGCATGTCCCTGCTCTCCTCGTCCGTGAGGTCCCGCTTGAGGCGCGCCATGTGCTCCAGGCGGTTCCGAAAGCCGCCTAGGTATATGACCCGCCATCATGCCGCACCGAAGCGCTCGTGGAACGTCTTGATGAGCCCGTGGCACTAGACGAGGTCGCCGAGTGAGACCGACTGAAAACCCACGCGGGCGGTCAGGAGGACGTCGAGAGAACCGCTCCACGTCTGGAAATCAGCCAGCCCGTAAAACCCGACGGTGTGGATAGTGCCATGTTCCTTGTGCTGGAAGCCCTTGTTCTTCATTTTCCGCTGGACCTGGTTGCCGAAATGCTTCCAGACCGACAAGTCGCAGTCCGGGTTGATGTCGTTGCGGAGGCGGTGGAAGAAGGCCGACAACTGCTCCTCTGTCAGGTCCTTGGGTTCTGGGGGCGACTTCGTCGCTCCAAACACTGGGCGGTACGCGGCGTAGAACTTGTCGATGACGTCCTTGCCGACGATGGGGACGATGGTCTCCGAAGCCTGGCCCATGACCTGCGAGATCTTGACGGTCTCACTCTGGCCCGAATCGGCTCCCGGAAGTACAGTCGGGGCGTTGACCTAAGAAACCCGAAATAAGGAACGAGGCCCCTTTTTCCCACAAGTTAAACTTCGATTTCCCATCGAAACCCCAAGCGGAACCACAGGCGAATTGCAACAAAATACTAAGGAACACCGAGCTCCTCCCCAACGAAAAGGGTTCCTTCCTCATGGCCCCGACTGTACTGGGGGAGCCGCCTTCGCCCGAGTCTGCTCCACGAGCAGGCCGTCCAAGCGCGACTCCTCCGTCGTCCTCTCCATGCCCGGGGCCACGCGGCATGCACGGCCAAGCAAGATGACCGCCGACTTCTGGATACGCGAGACGGGCAGCTCCTGCTGGGCACCCGCACCCTGGATCTCCAAGGCCTCGACGATGTCCCCGAGCTCCTTCTCCGAAACCATCGCCACTAAGCCATCGTGCTCCGTACCCTCGGCACCGAGCTCCTTGTAGAGCTCCGCGGGGACCTCCCGCGCGAGCCCAGCCCACGTCGCGACGTCGTCCACCGAGGTGAAGGCCGCGATCTGCTCCGTCGTTGGGTCGACGGCCATGGGAAAGATGACTGGCCTAATTAGCTAGAGAGCGGAGCAGGCAGCTATCTGAACCGCACCTTTTCTCGCTTGAGCCAAAATGGATACGATCGGGACGATTCCTAAGCCCACCCACCTGGAGCCCACGCACGGGGAACACGTGACGGCCGAAGTTGCTGCGCCACTTATCTTCCACATCATCCTCATCATCATCCTCGTCATGATCATCATCATCATCATCATCATCATCATCATCATCATCAGCAGCAGCAGCAGCATCATCATCATCATCATCATCATCATCATCATCATCATCATCATCATCATCATCATCATCATCATCATCATCATCATCATCATCAGCATCATCATCATCATCATCATCATCATCATCATCATCATCATCATCATCATCATCATCATCATCATCATCATCATCATCATCATCATCATCATCATCATCATCATCATCATCATCATCATCATCATCATCATCATCATCATCATCATCATCATCATCATCATCATCATCATCGTCGTCGTCGTCGTCATCATCATCAGCATTATCATGATTCATACATTCAGTCAGCCAGTCAGTCGTTTAGGCGCACAGTATGATCATCAACACCACCACCTCCACCACCAGCAGCATCAGCATCAACATCAGCATCAGCATCAGCATCAGCAGAAAAATCAGCGCCAGCGTCAGCAGCAGCATCCTCCTCCTCCTCCCTCCTCCTCCTCCTCCTCCTCCTCCTGAACCTCCTCCTCTGTCTCCTCCTCCTCCTCCTCATCATTATCATCATACCCTCCTCCCTCCCCTTGTCCTCCTCCTCTCCCTCCTCCTCCTCCTCCTCCTCCTCCTCCTCCTCCTCCTCCTCCTCCTCCTCCTCCTCCTCCTCCTCCTCCTCCTCCTCCTCCTCCTCCTCCTCCTCCCTCTCCTCCTCCGCCTCCTCCTCCCTCGCTCCCTCCCGCTTCCACTCCTCCCTCCCTCCGATGTTCGGCTGGGCCCTCTGAGAAAACTGCTGCGGCAAGAGAAGGCCAAGCAAGACCTCGGCATGCCCGCCCACCGCACGACGCGCACACGAGGCGCCCACGAGCGCCCACGGGCGGGCACCCAGCGAGACCTCGGCACACCCACGCAACTCGCGGAGCCCGCGAGGCGCCCACGGGCGCCCACCACTTGAGGACGAGGAGGGGGAGGAGGAGGAGGAGGAGGAGGAGGAGGAGGAGGAGGAGGAGGAGGAGGAGGAGGAGGGGGAGGGGGAGGAGGAGGAGGAGGAGGAGGAGGAGGAGGAGAGGAGGAGGAGGAGGGACGAGGAGGAAGAGGAAGAAGAGGAGGGCCGACAACCCGGCAGAGTCGAAAACAAGCTGGTAAGCTTAGGTATACAGTCCGCCTTAGGCGCTTCCATATCCCAGGCTTAGGCTCATAGCGCATGAGCAAGAGAGCGAGACGAAGCATGGGATCTGGAGTAAAGAGTAGGATGGGCATCGTCAATGGAAAAGGATGTTTTCCGATCTCGGATGCAAGTAGTGCGCCTCAGTGAGGCACAGTCACATATCTGGCCGGGCCCGGCTTGAGCCAGGCACGGCAGCGGTACATGCTCGATTTATATCTCGCCTTTAACCTTCTCCGTTTAAAGTCGGAGGGGGAGGAGACGAGCAGGTACCGCACTACTATTATGCGGAAAAACAGTGCTAAGCAGCAGCGGCTGCCTACAAGGAAAGGGGCGCGCGAGTAGCCTCGCTACCGGCGAGTTTCCTCGCTGCTAAAGCGCACCTGCCCGCGGGTTTCCCCGCTGGCTCGGGAGGCAGGGCCGTCCTGAGACGACCTGCCCGCCCTATACGGTGTATGTTTCTTCAGCTCGTGCTTGAAGGATTGCTGGCCGGCCATTACTTGTAGGAGCAACGCGCGGTCAATGCTACCTTTGGTATGACCATCGGCAGTCATATCCCGCGTGTCACACCATTGGACGCTTTCCACGATTCCACGTTCCATCATCTGGCGAATCCAGCTGAT